TTATGTAAGGGCAGATACGTAAGTATTGTGCCTTGGTCTAACACTAAACTTTTGAACAACTTTTTTGCACTTTCAATGCACACGCAAAAACCTAAAAAACCTGTGTGTCTTGGAGATTTTAATATATTTACTTTTTTTAATGTGTTACCCCTAGGAATAACCACAGATAAGTTAGTTATGACAGCTTTTGCTTCATCTAATCGGTCAAATGCCTTTTGATAGTTTTTTGAGTTTAATGCCTGTTTGTACGCATTGGACCAAGTTTTTGAATCGAGGACATCAAATATATCGTTCATTAAAATTAAAAATTCAGCGGTTGGAGTTACTTCTTTGAAAGAAGGCATCTTCATAATGTCAGCACAAAAAATCAATGCGTCAGCTACGCTCTGACTGAAAAGTTGGGCAGCCAATGAGACATTCATTATTTTTGACTTAAAATAAATATGGTTCGCTTTTAATTTGTTGGCTAAATAAAACATTTCTTCCTCTTGTAGTTGGTGCAACTTTGTGATATATGACCATTCTATTTTTTTTTCATGGCCAGATCGATAAGTTAAAAAATATTCGTAAAACTCAAACGCATTTCTAACCAGTTTCAACATATGACACGGATCTAGAAAAAAGAAAATCTCTTGTCCAGTATGAGGATCTAATATTTTAGTCTGTAAATTTAGTGGATCAAGACAGCAGCCCAATTCTTCAGCCATGGCAAGGTTACATTTTGTGCCGTCACATGTCAACGCCTTAATTTCAACACCAGTTTCATGAACGAGCTGGAACGCTATTGTGACAAGTCGAGCTTTTAAGTTAGCAGTCATACCTTTTATTAAAAAGTACCCAATAGGTACTTTCCATGTGGTATTGATGCCCACCAATAGAAACACTAGAGCATCAGTGGCTTTATCGGAATTGTCCGATATAAAATCAAATCCGTAGTCTACGTATCCGTAATGCCTTTGGGTACTAGAATTGTATTCGGTAAATTCTTTTATTTTCATTTCATCCATTATCAAAGAGCAATAGATTTTTTTGCCAGTATTACTGTCAACTCTCAATCTCAGTGCATTTAGTGCCTCTTTTGTGAAGCCTGGACGACCGTTAATAGTACTGTACCATTTTGACAATGTACGCGGCGCTGGTAAACAGGTTCCGAATGTTTTTCTTACATAACGGTAGGCTTTAGGTGAATAATAATTTAATGTAAGTGCAAAACATCTTAATTCAGGAGAATACTTAACTCTGGGTAATTTTCCAGTTTTGCTTTTTATAATTTGCCTTTTTATTAGTTCGGTCTCTTCCACGCCTATGGCTTCCAAAATTCTTCTATTTTCTTTATCTATTAAAGATTTTTTGGTTAACTCATCAAGTATTTCTTTTAAACTAGCAACTTTCTTTTTTAAATATCGTGTTTTCGACTGAAGTCTTTTAATTTGTTTGTTTTTTTGAACTATTATTCTTCTTAATTTACGTATTCTTGGTGTTTCTTGGTCCAATTTATAACAAGAAACATTAGTACTTGTAGTAGGTGAAACATGATTTGTTGATAACTCAGAGCGAAAAGTTGATGAGTGGGGTGGTGAACTAGCCGAGGTTTCAGTCTCAAATCTCATTTTTTTTGCTGGTTGGCAATCGGTTGGTTTTTCGAAGTCAGCCTACAAAATAACATATAAAATAACATTACTACAGTCCGTGAGGCGTAAGTTGAGCTTTGTATCTATGTGACTGCACACGGATAGTGTAGAATTGCAGTCGACTTGAAGCGCGCGCGTCCTGTGCTTAGTTTGAACCCCTGTTTCTGTGTTTGAACCGGTTTTTACTGGTGTTTGATACTCAGTCTGAAAGGCGATGCGTCCCACTCCAATAACATGTCTCTATCAATCTTAAACACGGTTACAAAATTAGTTGCGCTTCAATAACAAATCGCGCCATACTTTGTTAACGCGACAACAAGTTTGTAATACTAAATCAGTGTTTCAATCTTGTACTGTCATACTTATATGACGAACGCGTTATTGAGCTGCAAATTAATTTTGTTATTGTGTTTAAGTTTGAAGGAGATAAGGTATAATGCTTTTGGCGATCACTTACACAAATGTAAAGCGGACTATAGTATAATAAATGTGAAAGTATGATTTTTTATTTGTGTTTGTTTCTCTTTCACGCTTAACGGCTTGACCGATTTCGATGAAATTTGGGGGGTGTAGGGAACAAGCACTACTAACACAGACTATGATTTATCCCGGAAATGTGTAAGGTCCCCAAGGGATAGTCAACAAATTGTTACAATCCAAAATCCGCCCAGACGAATTCGCAAATAGAAGGTTGGTTTAAAATAACAATCATAAAGATCTATTTGCTTCGTATGTTGACAGAATAAATTTCTGAAAACCGTTATATTTTAAGGTATACATTGAAGTAAAGAATAGGTATACATTGGTGTTGGAAAAGCAATTAATCGTTTTTTAGTTACTCCAGTGGATGTTCAAAACTATATGGAATACATAATACGTTATTACAGATCCCTACATGTTTGCATCGAAACTAGATATAACTTACATTTGGTAATTTCAAAGTAGGTGTTGCTGATTCCTTTAATTTTCTTTTGTTGTTAGCCAGCAACAAGAAACATGACGTATCAAAATGATCGGAGCAAACTTTACTTGTACGTTTGGGTAGCCATGTTCTGTGATTTTCACAAGCTTTTATCCATTGTTGTCGACGGATAGGGTCTTTTGGAAATCTATACTAAAACTGTTTTATTTCAAACTAAAAAAATGTATCCATAATTACATTATATTGTTCATTCGTTCAATAATTTATCGATAAAAAAATAGTATGTGTCCTCTCTACGTAAATGACGTAAACTGGCGTTGGTGTGGCTAACTACCAACTTAGGAAAATAACCATTATTAGGATAAATTCATGTGATAAATTTTTATAATTTTTCACGTCCTTTCTTCATTAATTAAAGACATTAGTATAATAAGAAAATTTGAAGTGTCGGGTAAACCTTCAAAGTACTTGTGAGCGAATCCACGAACAGGACAACTAATCAATAGTAAAGCATATTTACTTAAGTCATTGAACAATATGATCGCTATGTAAGTACCATCTGTTAGTAAAAAAATTATGCAAATAAAAAAATTAAGCCACAAAAAACGTCGTAGTGCGGAACTTTGCAATAAACTGGCAACATTGACTCGGCATTACTCGGCAATGAATATTTATTTGATTTTCACGTATTCTTATAATATACGATAATATTACTTAAGAAAATACTTACAGATGAAATGTCACGTTGTCTTTTGTACACTCGATGTGTCAGACCTTTTTTACAGCCGAATACACTGCATCCAGTCATTTTTGTCGGAGCTCTTTACACTAACAAGCTTCATACCGGAATGGCGCGGAAGGGTCGAGAAACAGTTTTATATAACGCGTATGTCCAGCGGGTTCGTACTTTGACAGAGGGGGACGCGCGTAAAGGCGACTCCTTTCTGGCTTAATACTCTAAGCCTGTAATGGATGGCTGGCCATGAAATAGTTAACATAACAAGATCGAAACTGTAAGAAATTTAATAAAATACATCAAATAGTTAATATAAGTTTACCGAACGTTTTCAACCTGCTGATGAATTTTCGAAAGCAGCTTTATTATAACACTTTCTATATTCTTGGGATTTTCAAAGGAATGGAGGATGTTAGCATGTGGGCGGTAATACGTGATGAAACATGAATCCTTCATTTCCGCTCGGCAAACTACAGTATGCAAGACTAATTTGATAGCGAGAACGTACAACTGAGGTGCGAAAAAGCAAAACGCTTTTTTCGCTGCACCATCTTTGTGTCAAGTTATAAAATGTTTGCCGCCGCATTTGTTAGTATGAACGCGATAAACACAAAAACTGCCGAACGGATTTTTGTAAGGTGTATAAATTATTATATTTTTATGTAAATTTACACAAATTAAGTTATTATTTATCGTGTAATGTTGAAAATGTCGCGAAACGTTGTGCAAATATACATAAAGTCTAACTGTTAAAAATAATTTAATAATTAAAAAATTATAACTGTTATTAGATATAATTATGTGACTTTATCTGTGTGAACATGTGGTAATTAGGAGTTTTTTTCTAATAAAGAATTTTCTTTTTTTGTCAATTATAGGCCAACAGAATATTTTATATATTCAGTATACGAAGATTTAATCCGAATCATTGCTTACAATATCTATTCATGACAACGCACTGTTGTAAATTGTCATACGAAATACGTTTCTATTCTTTTAATATCTTTATTCTTTTTGTTCAATTGTTATATAATATATAACCTTTAGTGTTTTGAAGTCACCGGATTTATGTTGTAATAGTATCCAAGTTGAATATTTCGCGAAAGCAGCTGTCTCGTTATCGAATTACCATCTTTATTTGCCCAAAAATGAAAAATGCAAATATAGATGTCCAGCGGTGTACAGAACCACATGCTATTTAGTAAGGCGGGTACAATTTAGGACAAGATTATGGATAGATAACATTAGGTCCTAATAGTATTGTCTAGAAATTTTTATAGTTATTAAGATTACTTAAAACATTTGTTTCTATTAAAGAAATAAACTCGTGATTAATTCGTTAAATCATTAATTAACTATAAATTTTGTTAAATTGCAAAAAAGGTATTCCTAACGTTTAAATTAGCTAAAAGATATTTCAATAAAAAGCAAGATACCTACTTAATGATTCATTGCAATTCATGAGTCCCAAGTTTACAATTGTACCTATATTTGTCACAAGTAGGTGAATTTTCCGCGATTTCGCTGAATTATTTTACATTCTAACGGACACTTGCTTAGTTATAAGGAATCGGAGTAATGAAAAAGATATTAATAAAAGACGTTTTCCAAAAACAAGATTGCGTAATTAGGTTTCTACAGCCTTGGGTGTTGATTACAGCGTTTTATATATTAATAACATAAGACAATTTAAGGCTTTATCGTAAATAAAATGGTCTTTCATTTTCAGGTAACTTTCACCCGAACATTTCTCGATAAATCCGATAATTTGCTGAGAGTTCCCAGCACGTTCCATGAAGATAAACGAAAATCAAAAACGAAAAAATCACCCAAACGTACAATACAGAAGATAATAAAAAAGAATAACGTAAAACGCAAAAGAATCTTCATACATCCAGTCACCAACACACCAACACAATCTACAGCGAATAATAAACTTGATAGTATTTATTCTAGGCAAAATGAGGACACACATACAACGGAAGCAAATTCACGTAAACGTCCAAGAAAGAATTCTAAAGTCGTAAGATACCACATGCCTTTTCATAAACTACAGAAAACGAGAAGAAACAAAAGACAAATATATGGACCCAGAAATAATGTAGTAGATGCAATAGGAATACTTAGAAGTAAAAGGGATACAAATGGAGATGATATAATGATTTTAAAAGATTTAGATGAAATAGAGTTTGTAGATAGCGATAAGGATTACAATGTTGTTAGGGCGCATGTGCAGAATGTGTGGTAGTAATGGAAAATTTTGTGTCTGTGGTCGTCATAATAGCGTTGTACAGTTTTTATCTGCAGTGTAACACGAGTAATATATCTTAATATACGAATATGATTTATTACGAGCCCCCTTTTAGAATATGCTAAAAAAACATATATTTTCATATATATGTGTACTTAATGAAAGAAGGCGACTCCAATGGCTCATATTAAACGTCTGTGGTATTGGTGTCACAAAATCAGTGTATTGTTTGTAATTTTCGAAAATAAATAACTATATAATAAACATAAATATGTCTGACGATTATAAAAATAAAGTAGTTGATTTTATTATCTTCATGCCACAAGTACTTTTCAGTTACGGATTAGAAAAAAAATAATGAAACAGTAATATAGGTACCGAATCTTTTCTATTTGTACCCCATGAATAAGTGTTGCGTGATTAAATAAATAAATAAATTTATTACCAGATTTTTCAGATGTTTGTATGACGTATGAAATGGTAGGACTTCTACTACTTCCTTTCCTTTACGTCACACAAAGTTACTTAAGTAAATTATTAATTATAATCGTAGGTAATATGTTAAGTTATTGTTAGAAATAGGGAGAATAATTAAAAAATTCAAAGCTTAAGTCACCAAATTGCACGCTATAATATAAATAAATAAAAAGCCTTCATTGTTGTTTAGCTTGCATGCTGAATTTTAACTAAATGTGCATAAAGTAATATAATATTTATTATCTATCGGCAAACAGTTGTTTATAAACCTGGCGTGTGGACCCCAACTTTATCCATTGGGCTATGGTAGGGAGCTCCAGCCTTGCGATTCTGTAACTCACTTTTCGAACTCACACAGCGGTTTTCACAGCGGCGGTCGCGCTCAAATCAGTCGTGAAGCAGTCATTTTATGATTTGGCAGATAAGGTCCCTCCTTGTAGTTTATTGTTTATCAGAATGCCATATCGTAAAATGACTGCTTTACGACTGATTTGAGCGCGACCGCCGCTCTGAAAACCGCTGTGTGAGTTCGAACAGTGAGTTACAGAATTGCAGGGCTGGTCTTGGTGGAGATCGATATTTCTCATGTAGAAAAGTGCACCAGTCGCGTTTCTCATTAATCGCGTTTGGAGCGCGTGTAGCCGGTGGATGTGGGAGGGGGCAAGCTACGCTAGATATTTGACGTGCGTGCGTGACTTGCCCTTTTCTAGGACGAGTTCTAGGATGAGGTCTAGGAGGCGCTTTTTGACTACCTTCTCGTACAGTTTGCTCAGCGTATTGAGAAGGCTGATATCGCTGTAACTGGTGGGATTGTTACGGAGCTTGCCTGATTTGTGGATACCAATGACAATGGCCTCTTTCCACCGCGCCGGGAAGGTGGGTGGAAGTTTTCGAGAGGCAATTAAATATGGCCACTAGTAATCATATCAGATGGGGCGGGTGGCATCGGAGGACCGTCTTCGAGATGGCGTCGATTTTTCTTTATATATGAGCACAGGTACTCGTACGGCGACAGCGTGACGAAGTACTGGAATGTCTTAGGATAGGATTCCTTTGTATGATACGTGTAAGACTATGTCAAACATGTATTAGTTACTATACGCCAAAGTTTGCGTCATAGCATTAGCTTTTTATTATAATTAAGATATGGTAATAATAATAAGATAAATTACAAAAGTACTTTTTATTAATACATCAATAAAGAGCTTATTCAAGACCTTAATAAATAAAATTATTTACAAAACTTATAAAGTTTACACATTCGTACCATTCGGTACAAGCAAAAAGGTTTCCTATTTAAATTATAACAAAACATTCATTGTGTTGGAAAACACAGAAAATTTTCGTTGTCATGTTATTTTAATTTACGTACAATGAAACAACATATAATATAACCACGAAATACATTATTGAGTCTAAATACAATAACGGAATTTGTTTCTTCATCAAAGAAATTTAAAAGTATCTATTTAAAATTATATTGTTTATCCATAAAAACTAAATCAAGTCTTATTGCACTCTTAACTAACTCTGTTTCATTCTGCCAAATATATGCTGTGACTAAAAGAGACTTAAAAAATGGTGGAATTATGGAGCTGCAGTTATTATCAATAAGGGCGTATTATTCTATGACAACAATTTGACTTAGAAAGCAGTGTGCCAAAAGCAAGCAATGCAGAGTACATATCATATCAACATTAATAAATTTCACGTAAGACGATCTTGTGTTCAAAAATGCGAAAAACTTCTCTTAATTTCCCTACTACGTAACAGGTTAGAATTATGCATCTTCAGCCTTAATGTCATCTGATCCCTTCTTATTCCTGTATTCCCATCCTTGGTAGGCTAAATCCTGTGGGTTTCCTTCGTGTTCTCGGAATAGTACACCTCCCGAAGGTTGACCATATTTGTGTCCAGCCTGAAATTGACAAGTACATATATTTAACTTTGCGCAAAGTTTTATTTTATTATGTTACATAAAATGATTGGTTAGTAAATAAATTATTTGTTCGACGTACCTACTGGTGGACAGAAAAACTATGTCTAGGTTTTATATATGAACTAGCGGAATGTGCCGATAAGAAATTAGTAATTTTTAAATTTATTCGTTAAAAATATAGAAAAATACAAATATTTCTTTATATAATATAAGCATAGATTTAGAACAAGAGTTAATTGAAGTTATTGCATCTGAAAGTGTTTGCTGCAATGAAATAATGGAGAAGCATCAGGCATCACAAAAAGAAAAAGGCGAGTTTATGTAACAAAACGCGTTTATCATTTAACGAGAGTATAATTTATTTCTTAACAATTTTGGCGTTACTGAATATAAGTCTTACACAATGTATACATTCAAATGTCTAAAAATAGTTCTCTATAGAAAAAGAGTTCACAGTCTCGATAGCTCAGCATTACGTAACGGCCGTCTACTTTACTATCAGTAAAAAAACTGTTCTTTATTATAGAACGCTTATTAAAAACTCCTTTAATAAACGTATAATCAAATTAATAATTAGAGTAATGAACGCGTTTAATTTATAAGAAATTAATTGTTACTTGGAATCAGATTACGCAAAAATATTTTACATAATCCTCTAAATGTTTGCAAGAACATGAAAGTTATTCCCTGTAGCACGATAATAACATATTCAGGCATAGTTTTGTATTTTCCCATTAGCGTCGCGGGATGATTAATGGCAACATTTTCCTTTGAGAATTCCTTTTTTCTTTTCAAAGAAAAGAATTGTAGATAGGTTTTTTATTTTCAGGCGTAATAAGGACAAATTTCTAAACATAAATGGTTTCATACATACACCCGTCGTTAAGGCTCATGGTATATAATCGGTTTGGTAGGCAAAGAAGGCGTACTTTTCTAAAAGAAATTATAAATCAAATAGACGTTATCTTGTACAGACGAGATTGCTTCAGTGACTTTCTATAGTTATTACAGATTCACAAAATACCGTGTAGCGTTAAGGAGGCAAGTGGTCGCCTTAAAAAAAGTTGGAGCATCAGTGTATATGCTATGCTAACAAGGGACATTCTTCTCATCACCAGACTTAATTTGCGCATATAGGTGGGACTTACATAGGTATCATAATGACTGTACTGAGGCTCTCTGTATGGCCCAAGGCCAATGCCAGCTGGAGAGTACTGAGGAGCCGAGAAATGGTTTGATGAAAACGGTGAAGTCAGGTTGGGTTTGCAGAACTTGAAGTAGCCGATAACGCCTGGAATTAATAATATTCGTTTTAATTGTGTTATTAATACGCTTTGATATGTAAATTGTTCTCGGAGTCAATATGTAATTCAAAATGAAGGTTTCGTGTCTGCTTGTTAACTATTTATCGTATTAAAGTTCGTTACTTAGTTTCTTTACCAAATCTTAAATTACCAATCGAACGGGGCAACCAACTGGTTAAGCCTCAACCAAAAATATGTTTACCTGGAATAATTAGAGCCATGAAACCAAGGAACTTCTTGAAGCTGGCCAGTCCCAGGATAAGAGGTAGGAAGAGAAGCAGCTTCAGCTTGAACAGCTTCAAGATCAACAGCATTGGGATGATTAGCTTCTTTAGCTTATGACGACCTGTAAAAATAATTTCATTTTAATGACTAAAACTTTATTTAATATTTACATAATTAGTATTGTCTTTTATTAACATAACTTTAACACATTTAAAGAAAAAACTTTTTTACCGGACCTCGTTTTAGTCACCGTGACCACGCACGCTGTAAAGCACGCGAAACGTCGGGATTTTTTTTAATTATGTAAAATAATTATATATATAATAATACAAAACTTCAATCCGGTAAAAAAGGGTTTTCTATAAATTAACATAATTTGTTGTACTCTTATAGGCTAGCGGTTCCGGATTCCCACAGCTATATGTTTTTGAATATTTGAAAATAAATATATCTTTGAATATGCCTACAATACTCAGGAACAATATAGACACAAACGACTGCATCATTTGTGTTTGCTTACGGAATGGAGGTGCTTTTTTGTCTTCAATGATGTCAACTTCGTCGGCGATCTCGTCAATGAACCGTGGCGCGATAACTCCGCCAGAGGTCACTTCATTGTCCAGCTGCATTTCCAATGCGGATGAACGTAGAAATCTGAAAAAAAGAACGATAATGACCTTCATAACCTATCTAGATGAGTTATGACGGCGCTTAAAGCCATCGGGACTTTCATAAACGTGCATGTAGTCAAACAAATCACTATTATAACCTTTCAATTTTTCTCAATCCATATTTAACTAGGCCGTCCCAGTCGGAGTCATCGCTGCGGGGCTGAGAGCCGAATTCAGGTGGCTCGTGAGCAAGTGCTCTGGCCTGAGACTCCACTTTCACTAGTACAGCATTCTCTGACAACCTAAAAATTTCAAGGCAATTAAATTTACTAAAGTACGAAATACTACAGTTCAACACATGTGATCCACCGGATAAGGTTGACCAACTTGGGGAGAGTTCAAGTATTACGTCACGCAATTTTCGGAGATTATTGACCCTCC